CTCCTTCCCCCCCCCCCCTCTCCTCCGTCTCCTTGCTCCCCCCGTTCCCTCGCCAGTGGCGGGACGCCTGCTCTACCACAAGGCAACCTTCCCCAAGCTGTCCTCCTCCTCCTCCTCCTCCTCCTCCTCCTTTCTTCTCCTTCTCTTCCTCCTCCTGGGCTGCTCTGCCCAAGCAGCGAGGATGGGGAGCCCGCAGGCAGGGAGGGGCGCAGGCACCGCAGGGCCCCCGGAGCACAACTCAGCTGGAAAGTAAAGCGAACGGCTGTGAAAAGTCCCCGGGGGAAGTGGGTGGGTTGGCCGCCACAGCGGTTGGTTTTCAGACGCAGAAAGCCAGAGGCAACAAATGGAAGCTGAGCAGGGCCGATCCAGGGAGTGTTTGGGAAGAGATTGTGCAAAGACGCTTCACAATCTGCTTGCTTCGGTCAAACACACCTTTTCTTTTTTTTTCCCCCCACTTACATTTCCCGAGTCCCAGGCTTCCCCAGGCTGAAAAAAAAGGACTTCGTTTAGTCACCTAATGAGTCAAAAATGCATGTAAAAGAAGAATAAAGGCTGGCCCATCCATCATTTGGAAGAAGGTAGGAGGATTAACTAGGTGATAAAAAAAAAAAAACCACAACTTTTGACAAGAAGACAGAGCCTTGCAGAGCAGCCCAGGTGGGAAAGCAGGAGAACAGGCAGGCAGCAATAACCTCACCCCCCATCCCTTGCAGAGAGGGGCACAAATGCGTTAGGACAGCAGGGCCACGTACCTGGGTCTTGCTCCAGGCACAGCAGGTTTGGGGGTCTCCCTGTGCCCATTTGGCTCTTTCACTTGTTGTAAGCAGGATGGAAAAAAACAGAGCTGGAGGGGAACACAAGGGTCTCTGCCCCGCAGAGGTCTCAGTGCTCCCGGTGCAGTTGTTTCAAGTTTGGTGCATGTAAAATAAACGTGTTTGGCGCAGCTGGGAGCCCTGCAAGCTCAGGCTCCCAAGCTGCCATCCCACGCACATCCCCACGCAGGATTTTAACACAGCTCTTCGGCAGAGTGAGCAGAAAAAAGCAGAGCTCCAGCCTCAACCCTTCTTGCCCAGTGCCAGGTTGTTTTCCTGCCACAAAGAGCTGCTTACAGCAAATCCACCCCTTCTCACAGTTCCAAACCCAGCTATGGGCTGCCTCTGCATGCTCACTTGTTAAATTAGGTCAAAGCTTGGAGCTCCCCTCTGCAGAGATCGCAGCCCCTCCCAGAGATGCATTTCACTCCCTATGCACAGAAATCCTCCTCTTGCCCACCTCCTCGATACCTACCAGGATCTAGAATTAATCTTTTTTTGCAAAATAGTCCATTTGGGATGGCAGCACCCACCACAGAGAAACTGCTGTCCTGGGGGAGAGAAGCCCTCAACATCCCCAATCTCACCTCCAGGAGGGCTCTGAAGGGACCAGACATCTCTCCCCATGCTTGCAAGGGGGTACAATCCCTCCAACAAGGCAACACCCACCAAAACCAGCCCCGAGACCCCCATATAAGCCCCACCACCTCTGGTCCCAGCTTTTACAGAGACCCCAAGCCCCACTGCTGAGGAAATACCCCCTGGA